TCGGTCTTCGCGTAAACAATGACCAATATGATAGTGCTGCTCACTGTTTGGATAATGTGATATGGACAGCATGGTTCTGCTTTGAAACTAATAACCTAAACAAACTTTACAGTACGAGACAGGTATTCAATAAATAAAAGTAGACGGTTAATTACTAAAATTGCACTGTTTTCACAAACAATAAATCACTAGATAACTCGTTAATTGCACTAGAAATACGCTTCGATGTTAATTCGCCGTGTCGTAAATATAATTGCACGGTTGCGCACTAACAGTCTCCTCAAGGTGTTTACGGATCGGTGGGACTCTCCTCTGCTGCGCCACTGGGCAAAGATCCCAGCCACCATAATAATTGAGTATTACTAACATTAGACTTTAAGTTATTTTGTTTATACTAACCCTATGGACCATGTCTGAAATAAGTGGAGACTTGTCATTGGCTAACACATTGTTTTATGGTTCCTTAAAATGTTATTCTAGCTGTAAGTCTATATAAGAAAATGGGATATTGATTGCAAGAGTGTAATAATCAATCCATCAATAATCAGGCAATCCTAAGTTCTCTAATTACATAAGCTTTGCATATATATGTACTCAATGAATAGCTAATATTTACTAACCCAAAGTAATGTCTTACCAATATTCCAATAAATATCGAGAGAAAACTCTACGCATTAGTAAGCAGTTAATTTCTATCGACAAATATAGCAAGAACGTAACATAAATTTAAGCGTGACATCGTGCGTAATACTGTCTCGTAAGGCTAACACGCTCCGCTTTTATAGGGCTATCGAAATTACTAGAATTATCCCTAGTATTCGATAGACCGTTTTAGACAAATAAGAATTTTCCAGTATCGGTAAGCTTCCGTTACCCGATACATGCAGCGCTATCTAGCGCTGCAACTAGCGCTGCATTCTCAGGGAGGGGAGATGATTGGTGTCCTTATTCACTTGGTGAAAAGCAACGAATTGCTTAATACCGGGTTCTAATGAGATCGTGCAATTACTCCGGTCCATCCAGTACATGTTCTAAGAAGAGCTGGGTTATGTCGTGCGCTCCAGATGGTCCTGAGAAAAGACCAAGCGCAATTCTGGAAAGACTCCCGCGTATATGTTGGTTATCGCAGTAAAAAGTGGCATGTCTTCCTCAATAATCAAAGTATGTCCATACCAATTTGCATCTAAATTGGTTTAGCGGTTATTAATTCTCTAAACAAACATCCACCCCCCATTTTCACCCCCTCAAACGATGATTTCTTTAATAAACCCTATGTCCTTTCCCGGTACTTAGACTATCCCTTCGACTAAAATATAAATTTCATCTAAATTGGTTCAGGGGTTTAAGCGTGAAGACAAACAGACAGACAGACACACTTTCGCATTCATAACATTAATAAGGATGTATGTAAAGGGTGTCTCAGTCAGAGTGTACTTTTTAAATTTAGAATCATTTGTTTTTCGTGCAAGTGGCAACTCTGAAATTTTACAGCTGTCACCTATGTTTATTATGTTATATTGTATATGAAAGTTCCGCTGAAACCGCTCGCAAACGATGCTAATTTTTCGAAAGTCATCTCCGATGAAGCGCATTTCCATCTAAATGGCTACGTGAATACACAAAATGAGAAACAATTGCACCCACAACGAGCAACTGTCTAGTGCGGATTTTGGTCATGTGGCGTGATTGGGCTACTTTTTTGAAGATGAGGCCGAAATTGCACTGACTGTGAACGGCATTCGTTACAGAAATATGATAACGGAGTTCTTGTGGCCTCAACTAGACAACATGGATCTGGACAACATGTGGTTTCAGAGGACGGCGCCACCTGCCACACCGCGCATGAAACAATCGACCTATTGTAACAACGATTTCCAGAACACATTATCTCACGAAATTCTGATGTCAACTGGTAACCAAGATCGTGCGATTTAACGCCGTGCGATTTTTTCTTTGGGGTTTTGTGAAATTTTAGTTTATGCGAATAAACCAGAAACAATTCCTAAGCTCACATCAGAGATCCAACGCGTCATCGGTGAGATACAGCCACATCTCTGTGTAAAAGTCATGGCAAATTTCATGAAAAGAGTAGTGACCTGTCATCAGAGCCGCGGGGGCCATTTGCTGGATATTTTATTCCATACTTAATCGGAACATGTCTTCTTTACAATCCAATAAAAATATCACAACTCTTTCATAAAATACGTGTTTTTATTTTAAAATGAATATAATCATCACATCGTCATCATCAACAGCCTTTAATATTCTACTGCTGGACATAGGCCTCTCCTTAGAAAGCAGGTTTTGGCCTACAGGCCAAGCAGGCAGGTTTTGGCAGAATTTGTGTCAAGTTTGCCTTCTTTTTACAGTGCTGGGGTCCTGCGTTGTTTTGCGCCCTTAGTCGGCTCTTACGACACCCACCTGATGAATTGGGGTAGTGACATTCCGTATTCTTAATCCGTCACTACACGGACAAAATGAAAAAGTACGCTCTTAATGAGACACCCTTTATAATAAAAAGTTACATTGTTTTCTCCTACAGTTTAAAATTACAATTTACTAGCTATAAAAGCTGGTGTTTATGTGATGTGGGTATTGGTTGAAAGTGAATAACTTTACATTTTTCTGTTTTTTTTTAACTTCCAAAAGTTTTGAAACTTGTTAAAATTGTTACGCACTGGTGACTTACTGAAAATACATTTGAAAGACATCAACTTCTAATTTTGGATATTATACGACACGTTGAGTGCTTGCAACGCATGTTCACGTTCTTGAAAACTATGAAATCACCACATTTCATGAATAATTCACATGCACACGTAAAAATAAAACATAAGTATTATATATTCATCCACATTGACAGAAACTAAAACCGTGCCCTTGTATTCTACCAGCAGACCCGCGCCACTTGGTCTGCGTATTAGAGAGTTTTTTTCTAGTTTTTGCAAAATTGTTTATTGATGATCTATTGGTCGTAGCGTGATGACGTCGTAGATATAATAACCTTTAGTGTTTCTCGATAAATTGGCTATCAAACACTAAAATTTCCATACGAACCAGTATTTCCTGAGATTAAAGCGTTCAAACAAACAAACAAACTCTTCAGACATAGAGAGTACCTTACTGAAGTCGCATAATATGATGTGTAACATCTATCTATTATCACACCTACCATCTCAAGGCCAACTCTATCACCGCACGCTCTCGTAGATCAATTCAAATAGCCCACGATTCAACGGCTTCCTGTTACACATTTCCGTCCCTTGTCACGAAATCATTCCCGCAGATGGTAGGAACGCGAAAGCGGAAATATTCTGTTTGAATTGCCAGTTGTTTTTATTTTATTAGAAAATTTACACTGAAAAATGTTCTCAAATTATTTATGTAATCCATCAGTCTGACAAAGAAGTTAAACACACGTGTAAGCCTAAGTGGCATCCATTAATTATTTGCCACTAAACTCACGCCTTTTTTACCTCCATCCCTCTCATCTAACACGTGATCACATCACAACATAAAATATTTTGCAATTTTACATCCAGCCATAACAGATAAAAAGAAAAAACAGTTGCGGACTATTTTTTGGTCATAAATTCAACGTTAAAATATCATCTCTAGTTAAGTTCACACGAAGCTTATGAACCTCCCCGCTCCTTGACACATTACATTCCGTTGACTCCCTCCCGCCATAATGTGAATCGTTATTTATGGACGGCCTCCAATATGAGTATTTGCCGCCATTAAGACTACATAAATTCATAATCTTAGATTTAATCAAATTTCTTAATACACTGCTCCTGCGACACCGCCTAATATGGTCATCATCATCATCATCAACAGCCTATAATAGTCCACTGCTGGACATAGGCCACTCCTTAGAAAGGAGGTTTTGGCCTACTATACCACGCTGGCGTCTGGCCAGCGTGGTATAGTAGGCCAAAAAAAAAAAGGGTTGGTATAGGGTTCCTTTCAAGTTTTCCTTCTTTTTGCAGTGCTGTTGTCCTGTGCAGTTTGTTCCCTTAGTCGGCTCTTACGACACCCACGGGATGAATAGGGGTGGTGACATTCCGTATTCTTAATAAAAAATAAAAACACTGCATTTGCATTTGATTACTATCATGAAATTTGCAAAAACGTTATGTGGAGAAGAATATTTGTTATTATATTGCGGACACCTTGTTTGACCTACCAATGGAACACGAGTGAACACGCGAGCAAAACCTATTGTATTATATTATTTTTATCGCCCAATAAAACTTTACAAGCAATACGATAACATAGTAATATGATATTTAGTGTTATCGATTTATTTAACATAACACATTTACACATATAATTGATTTAAATATAGTGTCATAAACATGTGGATTCAACTTTTCCTAAATAAGATTCAACATATCTATACTTATTATAATGTTATAAAGAGGAAAGATTTTTTCTTTGTTTGTTTGTATTGCATAGAAACCCTCCGTGTGGTGTAAAATAGAAATAGGATATGCCTTTGCCGATCTACAACCGCCCGTTTCCAAGGAGTTGAGCCTGACGAGAAGGGCAAACAAACTCATGGCCACTCTTTTGCAATTCGCAGATAGATGGCATTATTAAATTTACCACAACAGATATGACAAATTTTCTATATTTTTTTGTTGATTTACTATTGATGCTCTCAATGTTCTCCAATTGGAGCAAATATGAAGACTGCCCACCCACACTAGGAGATATGGTGATCTGATCCCTCTTATACTGAATATGCATTCATAGCGTGCCCATGCAAAGCAGCTGGACAGTTTATGAACAGCGACGATAGAAATTGATTGACGTAAGCTTTTATCAAGAGAAGGAAAACTTGAAACAAACCCTATATCAACCCGTCTGGCTAAGGTGGTATGCTAGGCCAAAAACTACTTTCTATGTCCAGCAGTAGACTGTTATAGGCTGTTGATGAAGCTTTTATCAAACTATTATCATATGTGTATGTTACTATTTAAATTAAAACCTACCTATACTTAGCAGTAGATATTTCATTTTTCATAAACTTGATAGGCTGTGGTCTATTGACGAATATGACACGGTTTTGCTCGCTCGGCGCACCATCTGTAAGTCCTGATGTCGTTGCCTCATCTTCATCTGTAACGAAAAAACAATGATGACTTTAGAAGTTATTGGGAACTGCAATTAATTGAGTAATACCGAGAGTTGATATTCCTTTGTCTTCAATTCAATAAGTGAACCTTCTGTACGTATTCACTGTTTACTACCTATGAAGTACCTAATAAAACTATATAATTACATCACTTACAGCAGACCCAGACGTTGAATATCCTTGACATAGCCTACAGACTTCCAGTTGATTAATTAAGATTCTTGCAAGCAATAACGGGTTTATAGAGAGAGATGATTATACCCCTTCCCTATGCCTTCCCTATGTATGTGTACATGAATATATTTGTGTATAAACACAAAATTATTATAAGAGATATATAATTTTCCACTACGCCGCTTCCTACTACCTCACCTGGGACGACACTTTGTGTAATCCACAAATTGTTGTTCTGAGTCTGGGTGTTATTTGTGTCCGTTTCATGTATGTTTGTAACGTCCCCCGCGACACAGGATATATTCTTAATACAGTTGTCTTTGTTAAAAAACAAACTTTTCCATGGATGTTTATGTACTCTAATTATAACTTTGTATTGCTATTGCAATGAGTGGAATAACTTCTATAACTATACTTTAAATCTCATCTTAAGCAGATGCTGGATGCTGTATTTGTCCATCCAAAGGTTCCCGTAAGAAAGAAATAACTTTTAGCAATAAGGTCGCCATTTATTAATTTTTACCAGATGTATTCCATATGAATTTTTATTGCTGTGTAAAATAAAGTTGAATTCTATTGAATTGTTTATAACAAATTAATTGTTTATTATTAAATTAATAAATAAAACTAATTATCGCATTCGCTAGTGAATAAGTAATGGGTCTGTTTTACTTAGAAATGGCTACCCCTATAATCAAGTTAATGAACTAAACAAATTCATAAAAGAAGTTGTATTTTAAGCATAATAAATTACTCGGCGAATCGATAATGTTCGTATCGCCTTTTTGTTAACACTATACAAAAAGGAGTTTTATAACGAATAAATATTGTGTACTAAATATTTTCAGATTACTTCATCTTCATCATCAGCCTATCGCAGTCCACTGCTGGACATCCTTTCCCATTGCACGCCACTTAGATCGATCGGCTTCTTAGATGACTACTACCCCCAGATTTATGTAATAGCATATCAAACAAAAATCTAAATCAAATCTAAATTAAAGCAATATCTTGTAAGTTTTGTTTAAAAATGATGCAATATTGGTGAATACGTTTAGGACATACCTCAACGAATTCACAAAAATTGCTGTTGTATTTATGTTAAGTGAAATTAGTAAGTGTAGGATTATTTTTTCTTTTGTGTTGCTGGTACATTGTAATCCTTTTCTATTTGTTATTCTTATAGTTTTGATTTATATATAAATAACATAGACAGACTCGAGATAGCACAGGTATAAACCTTGTTGGTTTTTAGTTGCTATTATTGTATAAGTCACTGTATTTTTTTTTCTCTTTGCAAACAATAAATGAAAAAAAGAAAAAAAACTAAGCTTATCTCTTCTCCTGAGGGGGGTATCGTGATGTTATAATACAACCATAACCATAAACTAAACGAATACTCCATCCAAAGCAAAATTATACACAACTGGTTGTACACTGCAACGCTCAGCTGTGGACGTGGCACTTTGTGGTGAGAAGCAATGAGGAACAAAACTGATGCGAAAAAAATGTATATCATATCGTGTCGAAATTTCGACTCAATCTGTTAAGATGTTTTGAGTTTCTGAAGCGCACACAAACCAACATAACATTTTTATATGTTATATGTAGATTAGCTAGTACCCGCGAATTCGTTCGCGTGGAATTTCATAAGCGCTGCCTTAGTGTGAACGGGACTGCAGTCCATGAGGACTCGTGTTTGATGCCAAAATTTTACATGGTTTTTCTGAGAGGAAAAATAGCCTGCCTACCTGGCAGTGAAATATTATCAGAATCGGTCCAGCCGTTTTGAAGCTTAACCTGAACATACAGACAGACAAAAAATATTAAAACTTGTTTTTAGACATAGGTATCGTGTGAGTAACCGTGTGAACATTAAAAAAGGTATTATTTTGACATTACAAACAGACACTTTTATTTATTTGTGTGTGTTTGTGTGTGTATACATAGATTATAATGATGAACGTAACAATCAGACAATAAACTTTCTAGCTTTATTATATTAGTATACATTCAATCTATCAGCTTATTACAGTCCACTGCTGAACATAAGCCTCTCCCAACGTTCGCAATAGCCCTCTGCGATCTTGGCGTAAATTGGATGCGGAAGGCGGGATTCCGCATCCAATTTACGCCAAGATCCTTTGATGTGTGCACGAAAACCCGACACTGTTTTGTTGGCCGCCTAGTGTCGCCGGCAACAACCAACATACCGCCACATGACTCTCTATACACTCAACATGCTAGCCCTTTTTTTTGTTGTCGGGGTGGAAAATCCCTTCGGATCTCCTGCTCCTTGGGGACAGCCAGGAGTATGCGGTGATTCCACTAAAAACCACCCCGACGGCCGGTCTCAAGTGCCCCACTCTGGAAGGACCCGGACCATGTTATTTCAGGTCCTCAATAGCGGCTTGGCGGCCAAATTGGGTCTTAATGCAATCAGGCCGCCATCCTATCCCCTACCGCAGCAGTCAATCTGCCACCAGAGGTCCCCATTCTGTGGCGGTCCGCGAACATGCTAGCCCTAGACCTTGGTCCAATCTGTACATCGACCTTAACATCTGTAGGCCAACTTTAGCATCGCGTGCGCTCATTCGTCCTGTAAAACAGCGTGCGTTACCCTTACACACTTCCGTCCCCATAACAGTGCTACAGATTGTTGGAAAGCGCAAGGACAGATGTTACACGTTAAAAATAATGTCATTAATAGACCACAATATAGTGGGCAGTTTTGCTAGTTGCACGTTTAGAAATCATCTCAGCGCATCCGGTTTAAAGTTAATTATTTCAACGAAATCACAATTAAAAGCATTTTAATGTATTTTAGACGTAATATTATGTATTATATTTAAGTTTTTGGAATTACTGACGAAATGAATATATGTTATATAATCTGAATCTCGGAAACGGCTCCAAAATTTTCATTATATTTAGTATGTTGGGGGTTTCGGGGACGATTAATCGATCTAGCTAGGTTTCATTTTTATAAAATTTACCAAATAAAAAATACCATCCTCAAGACAGGTCATCCAGGTACTGTATTCTATAAAACGAATAAATATACATATATGTGTACTTCCGGTAACTTATAAATAAAGAATTAACCAGAAATTAGTTCAGCATACGGTCGATATTCGATACGACTTAAAGGTCATCGCTTGTTCATTCTTAAATATAATCGATTTGCTGTCATAGTATCGCGTCGGTGTAATTGTCATCACTGAAGTCATCGGTGAGTTCGTTTAGGCAATGATGTAAACATAAACGAAGAAGTCATCAATTATGTCCGGTAACTTGTCAAATATATTATTCAGCTTGGTGAGGTCGAATAGGTACTAGAAAAACTCTAGTATTATGTACTTAAGTTTGTCCTTGATTGACCTTCCATTAACTTCGAGGCTGAAATCTTTAATTTTTAAATAACACGCGTTCAGGTTACTTTAGGAGATCTTTGTAACTAGACATCTTCTAATTAAGAGGTTTACCTAAAGATGGAGCTCGCATCTTAATAACAATTAGGGCCCATCCGCTCGGCGAAATTTCACCGCACGTTTTCTTTCGCAAAATTCTGTCACACAAAAATTCACGCGAAAAAAAACCTATGATTTGATGCAAATTAAACGCGATACGGTGTAGATTTATTTCCGCGCAAATAAAAACCTCGCGGTGAAACATCGCTGTGCAGACGGGGGCTTACTATTCCTGGATTCCTCCTATATTAGCTGCAGTCAGTATGGTGGGTCAACCCAAGCTACCCGCACAGGCACTAAAAGGGAGAACTCAACGCAATTTCGGCGGCACACTCAATGTAAAACAGAATACGGTAAATACCGAGCCGAGTCAAATGTGCAGAAGCTGCATTTAATTTAGAAGTAGCAGGTGGAACCTGGGACCCCAAAAACAATTGCTAGATTTCTTCTTATTTTACTACCTTCGAATATACCTTCTGGAATCTGACTCCAGAGCTTATGACATTTGTGACTTTTGTCTAACTACGAGGAAAGGGTCAGAATTTCGGATCCTTTGGGAGAATGCAGTTAGTTAAACATTATTTTTAAAACACCATTACAATAAAGTAGTAAAATAATAATAATAACCTCGCACATCTCACACACGACCGTTTAATTCCAAAATAGGCAGAGCTATGGAAACCAAACTGCTGATAAACATACCTATATACTTCTTAAATAGACAAGCTTATATCATAGGTAAATAACACCCAGACACAGAATAAATGATCTTGCTCATCACACAAATATTTGTCCGGGATGGAAATCGAACCCACGACCTCGGGATCATCAACTACCGTGTTTTAAATGGTTGATTACAAATGATATTCATGTTCAAATTTTTTTGAGGGTTAGTTCGTTGCTTTAAGTTAAATTAGCCGCTAGTTCTTCTTATTCTTAAATGTAATATTATCTTAGGTTATAAGATGGCGTAATAAGAAAAGTGAAGATTCTCCTTGTTCTGAACGACTATCGGTGACAAGCGTCCATGAAACAGCTCGATGCTTACGATAACTAGGACAGTAATATTATAAAGAGAATAAAAACATAAAGACGTACCAGTTTTATGCATTACAATGGAACTTTCTAATAAAAACTGCACCGTTGTACAGAAATATTGTAAGAAGTTGTTCAAGGTGATTTAATTTTGTCTGAGAGTTGTGCATCGCTGGCCGTGGCGAGGACCGTCTCGGCGTAATAAAATGTATCGTTTATAAAACAATGTCAATTACCATAACTGTTACTAAGTTTAAAGGTTGTCGTTGGACATAGAGTCATAAAAAAGATCGAGTCTTATAGAA